ATCATCATCATCATAATTGACTACTTCATTATCTTCACCATCTCCTTCTTCATTGTCTTTATCATCTCCTTCTTCATCATCTCCTTCTTCATTATCACTAGCTGTTTCAGCTTGATCTTTAATTCCTCTTCCTGAATTCATTTGATTATCAATTCGAGAGAAGTTAAAGATTAAATCATCTTCAGTTCCATCTACTACATTTAAAATCCCACAACATTTAAATAATTTTCTAATCAGGTTGAGGTCAACAGATTTTCAAGCTTCACTAATCTAACTTGCAACTAAACTATAAGATGAATGATTCATTTTACGTAAACATATAAATTCCTTGATACCCTCATCAAACCATCAGTTATATAAGTGATAAACCTATTTATATAAAAAAAAAAAAATTAAGATTAAAGATGCAGACATTAAATAATATACTGTATAGCTATATGTAGCAGCTACCCAATTTTTATATATTACAAGAAAATAGCTATCCTTAACCTAAAAAATATCTGCATCTCTAATAAAGATCAAAAATATTATAATAAATTAAAAATTAACATTGATTTAAATGACTTGTTTATAGAGATATCAAGTGGTTGTAGGTAGGATATTAAACCACGAGGAATTATTGCAAGATCAGTATTTTTTTCTTGAAAATATCATTTCACATGATCTGTTGTATGACTAGCAAAAATGCATTTATAATGAAAAGAGAATATGAATTATTACCATGTTGTGCTCATCAAGTCCAAACATTCTCTACCCACTATACTATTTCATCTTTATTTATCCATTCTGAAGGGTTCGCATATACAATAACATCATCAAGAAATTCTTCACAAGGCACCTTAACTAGTTTAAAAATAATTAGAGGTGGGAGCTTTGTACTATCAGCTAAACAAGCTAAAACAACAGTAAATATTGAACATTCATGCCCAATTGATGCGATTGATATAGTTTTAGATCTTTTTTCTTCAATTGTGGTAGTATTTGTTATATTATAAGATATAGCAGTTTTATCTATATTGCAAATTAATGATAAAGAATAATCATAACTATGATGTTTGTAAAGTATAAGGGATAAAAATTTGCTTTGTTCTTCATTATAAGTTTTAGGAAGATGTTGGGTAGTAGTAGTACATCTACGGTTAACCAAATTATGCCGTGACATAAATCTATCTACCCATTTTTGGAAAAATTTATGATTTTCAATTTCATGAAACTGGTTTTGGTAGCTAGAAGTGGCAGCAAGAGAATGAGCTTTTGCTTGAATCATATAGTAACTAATGACTTTTTGCTAGGATTAGGTATGGTGAAACTATTCAAATAACTCAGCTTCAAGCTCAGGGTACTTAGGTTTAGCACCAGATACTAGCTTTTGAATATATGGTACAACTTTCATAAGTGCTAGTTTTTGACTAATCCATTCTCTAAGTTGCTTCAGTTCTATTTCAAATTTATCAGCTGTTGAACACTTGCTATGCTCTTGTTCTTGATAAGTTATTTTTCACATACTGACCACTGTCATTTTTTTTTGTCACTTGGGCATGATGAACTTTAAAATTTCCACAGACTATTTTGATTCTTAGTATAATAAAAAATCTTTGGTGCTTATGGTTAAACCTATAATGAATTTTTTTTTTTTTTGATAAATCAGTTATTATTATTTTTTTTTTTAAAAAAAAAAATTATTCTGCTTATAAATCTTATTTGTGTACAATTATTTTCGTACAAATTATTTTTGACAACTACTCTTAACATAGTAAAGAGTAATAATCCAAGATATGAATATCCCTTAAATTTAGAATACAACCTAACTCTTAATATATGCTTTTATTGAATATGAAATTAATTTGGATATTTTAACAAGATAGATAACAAAAACTAGGTTCAGTTTTTGTTATCTATCTTGTGATCAACCCTTAATCATAACAAATTACATACGATGAGCCGTCAAGTAAATTTTTTCTAAGTTTTAAAAGTTCAAGCACCAACTATTATAATGGGAGTTACTTGTAGTTCTTGCTGGTTTATATATTCGTTATCCTTACAGGTCTTTGTATTGCCACTGTTGTTGTAGCTCTTGTTGCTGCTGTTGTCCTTGTAGCTCTTGTTGCTACTGCTATTGCCCTTGTAGCTCTTGTTGCTACTGCCATTGCCCTTGTAGCTCTTGTTGCTACTGCTATTGCTCTTGTAGCTCTTGTTGCTACTTCTGTCTTTGCAGCTCTTTCTTGTTATTGCTGCTTCCATTAAGTTTTTTTTTTAGTTAATTTCCTGCTAAGCATTCTTTTTTTTTTTTTTTTTATTTATTAAGGCCGATATTATAGGGCTACTGCCTTTATTTGTATTTTTAGTTAATGCATTACATATAACTTGTACAAGGTGAGTGTGCAACCAGCGACACGTGCAACTTTTGGTTACCTAATTTAAGTAGTCCGCCCGAAGGTTCTACACTAGCTGCCATATCTGTAATCTGCTAGGAGATTACCTATTTAAACACTTTGATCCTAATACTACACCAGGCAAGTAACACCTGGTTCCTGTACAACTAAGTACCATCTAACCCAACATTTAGCCTCCCTTCTTCTACATCTGTCAGGCTGTTACACATTTCAGAGTATGTCACCTGACTGTAAGGTTAAGGGTATCTCCCTAATCCTTCTATATCCCACATATTTCTGAATTAGGTTCAGAGAACCTGTTTGCTATTGCCAAGGCCAATACTAGCGGTTAGGGCTAACCATTAAACCGCACAATTCCTGGTTCCCCTGCCTTTACAAGGTTTATTTCAATCTCGATACCTACATCTACCTTTCTTCTTGTCTTTTTACCGATCCCTCCCAAACTTCCAAACCAGTTAGCCCAGATAGATTGGTATACCTAGGCTTTAGGTGCCCTATGATTCTCTTTCTTTGGTTTCTAATTCTATAACATAGGACCTTTT